AAAGGGTTTTCTAATGATCAATTAGCCTTTTAAAATGATCAACTTGGATTAGCAAACACAACATGCCATTGGAACACAGGACTGATGGTTGCTGATAATGGGCCTCTGTACGCCTATGTAGATATTCCATTAAATAAATCAGCCGTTTCCAGCTACAATAGCCATTTACAACATTAACAATGTCTACACTGTATTTCTGAACAATTTTGATGTTATTTTAAATGGACAAAGAAATTGCTTTTCTTTCGAAAACAAGGACATTTCTAAGTGACCCCAAACTTTTGAACGGTAGTGTATACAGTGGGGAGAACAAGTATTTGATACATTGCCGATTTTGCAGGTTTTCCTACTTACAAAGCATGTAGAGGTCTGTAATTTTTATCATAGGTACACTTCAACTGTGAGAGACGGAATCTAAAACAAAAATCCAGAAAATCACATTGTATGATTTTTAAGTAATTCATTTGCATTTTATTGCATGACATAAGTATTTGATCACCTACCAACCAGTAAGAATTCCGGCTCTCACAGACCTGTTAGTTTTTCTTTAAGAAGCCCTCCTGTTCTCCACTCATTACCTGTATTAACTGCACCTGTTTGAACTCGTTACCTGTATAAAAGACACCTGTCCACACACTCAATCAAACAGACTCCAACCTCTCCACAATGGCCAAGACCAGAGAGCTGTGTAAGGACATCAGGGATAAAATTGTAGACCTGCACAAGGCTGGGATGGGCTACAGGACAATAGGCAAGCAGCTTGGTGAGAAGGCAACAACTGTTGGCGCAATTATTAGAAAATGGAAGAAGTTCAAGATGACGGTCAATCACCCTCGGTCTGGGGCTCCATGCAAGATCTCACCTCGTGGGGCATCAATGATCATGAGGAAGGTGAGGGATCAGCCCAGAACTACATGGCAGGACCTGGTCAATGACCTGAAGAGAGCTGGGACCACAGTCTCAAAGAAAACCATTAGTAACACACTACGCCGTCATGGATTAAAATCCTGCAGCGCACGCAAGGTCGCCCTGCTCAAGCCAGCGCATGTCCAGGCCCGTCTGAAGTTTGCCAATGACCATCTGGATGATCCAGAGGAGGAATGGGAGAAGGTCATGTGGTCTGATGAGACAAAAATTGAGCTTTTTGGTCTAAACTCCACTCGCCGTGTTTGGAGGAAGAAGAAGTATGAGTACAACCCCAAGAACACCATCCCAACCGTGAAGCATGGAGGTGGAAACATCATTCTGTGGGGATGCTTTTCTGCAAAGGGGACAGGACGACTGCACCGTATTGATGGATGGGGCCATGTATCGCGAGATCTTGGCCAACAACCTCCTTCCCTCAGTAAGAGCATTGAAGATGGGTCGTGGCTGGGTCTTCCAGCATGACAATGACCCGAAACACACAGCCAGGGCAACTAAGAAGTGGCTCCCTAAGAAGCATCTCAAGGTCCTGGAGTGGCCTAGCCAGTCTCCAGACCTGAACCCAATAGAAAATCTTTGGAGGGAGCTGAAAGTCCGTATTGCCCAGCGACAGCCCCGAAACCTGAAGGATCTGGAGAAGGTCTGTATGGAGGAGTGGGCCAAAATCCCTGCTGCAGTGTGTGCAAACCTGGTCAAGACCTACAGGAAACGTATGATCTCTGTAATTGCAAACAAAGGTTTCTGTACCAAATATTAAGTTCTGCTTTTCTGATGTATCAAATACTTATGTCATGCAATAAAATGCAAATGAATTACTTAAAAATCATACAATGTGATTTTCTGGATTTTTGTTTTAGATTCCGTCTCTCACAGTTGAAGTGTACCTATGATAAAAACTACAGACCTCTACATGCTTTGTAAATAGGAAAACCTGCAAAATCGGCAGTGTATCAAATACTTGTTCTCCCCACTGTATACTGAATGAAAATATAAACGCAACATGCAACAATTTTACTGAGTTACAGTTAATGTAAGGAAATCAGTCAATTGAAATAAATTCATTGGGCCCTAAATCTATGGATTCACATGACTAGGCAGGTGAGCAGCCATGGGACGGCATTGGCCCACCCACTTGGGAGCCAGGCCCACCCACTGGGGAGCCAGGTCCAGCCAATCAGAATGAGCTTTTCTCCACAAAAGGGGATTCCTTAATTTTTATTTATTTTTTAACACGAAAACCCCCCCCCCACTAATATACCTTGATTAGATAAGTATTCACCCCCCTGAGTCAATACATGTTAGAAACACCTTTGGCAGCGATTACAGCTGTGAATCTTCTTGGGTAAGTCTCATTAGAGCTTTGCATACCTGTATGGTGCAATATTTGCCCATTATTCTTTTCTAAATTCTTTAAGCTCTGTCAATGTGTTGGGGATCATGGCTAGGCAGCAATTTTCAAGTCTTGCCATAGATTTTCAAGAAGATTTAAGTCAAAACTCAGGAACATTCACTGTCTTCTTGGTAAGCAACTCCAGTGTAGATTTGGCTTTGTGTTGTAGGTTATTATCCTGCTGAAAGGTGAATTCCTCTCCCAGTGTCTGGTGTAAAGCAGACTGAAGCAGGTTTTCCTCTAGATTTTGCCTGTGTTTAGCTCCCTCACGTTTCTTTTTTTATCCTAAAAATCTCCCGTCTTTGCCGATGTCAAGCATACCCATACCATGATAATAATATAATAATAATAATATGCCATTTAGCAGACGCTTTTATCCAAAGCGACTTACAGTCACGTGTGCATACATTTTTACGTATGGGTGGTCCCGGGGATCGAACCCACTACCCTGGCGTTACAAGCGCCGTGCTCTACCAATTGAGCTACAGAGGACCACGCAGCCACCACCATGCTTGAAAATAAGGAGGCAGTTAACGTAGTGATGCGTTGTGTTGGATTTGCCCCAAACATAAGGCTTTGTATTTAGGCCAAAAAGTGTATTCCTTTGCAGTCTTACTTTAGTGCCTTGTTGCATATGTATGCATGTTTTGGGATATTTTCTGTATATTTTTATTATTTTCACTCTGTCATTTAGGTCATTATTGTAGTCACTACAATGTTGTTATCCATCCTCCGTTTTCGCCTATCACAGCCATTGAACTCTGTATAGCTGTTTTAAATTCACCAATGGCCTCTTGTTAACATCCATAAGCAGCTCAGTTCAGAAGGACCACTGCATCTTTGATGTGTCTGGGAGGTTTAACACATCATCCACAGCATAATTATTAATTTGACCATGCTTAAAGATATATTCAATGTCTGATTTGTTGTTGTTACCCATCCACTAATCACTGCCCTTCATTATGAGGCTTTCAAAAAGCTCCCTGGTCTTTGTAGTTGAATTTGTGTGAAATTCAATACTGGACTGAGGGACCTTACAGAGGTTGTATGTATGGGGGACAGAGGAAGGGGTAGTCATTTAAAAATAATGTCAACCTCTATTAAGTCCATATAACTTATGTGATTTGTTAAGCAAATGTTTACTCCTGAACGTATTTAGGCTTGCCATAACAAAGGAGTTGAATACTTTGACTCAAGACATTTCAGCTTTTCATTTAGAAAGTAGATGGTGATAGCATTGGTTTTAGTAACAGGCTAGTATTAGTCACAGGCTGCTGCAGGGCTGCAGCTGGATGCATCTCCAGATATTGGCTACATAGGGTCAACTACCTCAGCACAACTACCTCCTCCCCAGAAATTATTTGGTCAAATGGTAAAACAAAGCAAAGCAAGCAGTAAGTAAACCTAACAAACTGAATGCATTTTGTTATTCCAATTCCTGTGATGCTGATCAATTTATAAATTTTTATTTACAAAATATTTATTTATATTTACAAAATATTTATATTTACAAAATATCCAATATCTAAATTTGATCAGATATCATCATATCCGTTTTACATTTCTATCTCTCGGTTTCAATAATTACAGACCTAATGAGCAAAATAATGACAAAAGCCTAGATGTTATTTCCTTGTTGTAACATGTCATGGAGGTAGGTCTTGGGGGCCACTTCCCTAAAGACATAAAAGTATGCAAAACACTGCCAATTATTTTCTCAAAAGACACAGAACTGGCCTGGTCCCAGATCTCTTTGAGCTCTTGCCTACTCCATTACTGTCAAAGAGGGAATTCGATTAATGCCCCGGGTGAACAGGGTTAGCGTTGATAGCATTCGATTTAGAACCAAGCTGCCTCCCGGGCTGCAAAGTCGGCTCAAAACAAAAGTGACGTAGGTTAAGCATGTTCACATGCAAAAGTGATTGATTTTGATAAAACACTTCCTCTGCCTTCACAATGAAAACTGGTTTGAAAATTCAAACATTTTAAAAGGACAAGAGATGTTCTATGTTTCTGAACGATGCATCATGCTGCCTTGTTGACAACATGACCGAGCTGCACAGATTAGTGTTCGATTTGAGAAGGGAACTCCTCCCTCACCGATTTTGCCCGTTCACTTCACGGGCCATAGCCCAGTGCACATAATCAAACTCCCTCATTGGCAACCAATTTTAGTTTGGAATGACAATTCCACAAGGAATTGGCAAGAAGGCAGAAACAGACTGCCACCCAGGCTAACACAGAACGTGTTTGATTGAAGTTTAACAGAAAGTTCCACAATAAGGTGATAGCTTTAGATAAGAGGGTTTATGGAAGTGCTTAAATTCAGACGTTATGAGCGTTAACAGATTACTATCTTCAATAGACCGTATTTCACACTTCTACAAAATCTATCTGATCTCCTTTGATATTGCAGCATATTAAACCAAAACTTTGGTGTCTCTGATACTGGCAATTAATGATCAACTTTCTCACAATGTTGCAAGAAAATATTGCTACACCAGCCGGTGGGACTCTGCAGTTTTGTTGATGCCACTAGTCTACACTTATTATAGGCCAAATTATGGAGTAGAATTGTTATTTCTTCATTGACTGCTGACAACTTTCAGATATGAATAACATCAAAAGATACTCTGTAAATGAGTGCTACAATATTACGACTGAAGAGATGCCAAAACAAACATTACTTATCCAACAGCTCCTCCTTGTGGTAGAAAAAAATAATGGCTCAATTTATGACATTTTAATCCAAGCTTTCATACAAAAATCTAACAAACTGTCACATTGACTTTTACATGGCTTTGGCTTAAGTAGCACTAATACATACATACACACACACAATATCACTTTTACGAGTGATTCCCTATCCTGGTCCTAAATGTATCTTTGCATGTACCAATTCAACCTAAACCTATCTGTATGAACAAAAAGGAAACACAGTTTTAAAACAAATGCATTGTCTTAAAGGCACTGTGGAACCTCCTGATACGAATCCCAATTTAAACTTTAAAACAAGACTAAACTGGTGTTATGGTCCTGTGGTTACAAGGAAAGTATCATCGAGGTTCTTTGAGATGAGATTCACCCTAAAATGTCCAGCAGCGGAAAGGTATGTGATGTAACCAAATACCACAACCATTCAGAGTGTGTATGTGGGTGTCGTGCTCTTACTCCACTGTATAACCATGACTAAAGAGGTTCCAGGTTCCTTTATTTCAAGTCTATGGTCCTTCATGTGGTCCTCGTCTACTAGGCTCCTGGTGGTGTACAGTGTGTCCATTAGAGGCCACCGTACGTTGCTCTGTATGGAGGAGCTGGCTGGGCAGTGCACACAGGCATGTGTCTTACCCTTAACTGCTTTTAGCAGCGCTGGTGCATTGACTCACTAGCATTGCTGGGAATTGGGTTGCAAAAAAACAGTCAGTGGGAAGCCAGTGTTGGTCTTTATAACTGGGGGAATTTGAGACAAATTATCTAAAGATATTATTTAACAGACTTTCCACGTTCTTTTTTTATATTTTGTCTCAAATTCCCCTCGCTATAAGGACCAACCGTCAAGACCACCGGCAGAGTAAGTTGAAATAGAATTGTATTAACTTCTGGCCTGTGGACTGTTCAGTTTTTGCAACCCAATTCCCAGCAATGCTTGTGTGTCAATACACCAGCGTTGCTAAAAGCAGCTATCTTGGCATCTCTCTCTCGCTCGCTCTCTCACTGCTGGTTCATCTTAGCTGCTTCTGCCTTGATGAGTGAGATCAGCTCCTGGTTGATCAGGAACACAAAACGAAGACCTGCAATCTGGAGAGACAAATTACTTGTTGTGAAGTTCATGTATTATTAGAGGTGGTTGTTATAGATCAGGGGTATTCAAATCTTACCCTACGAGGTCCGACTACTGCTGGTTTTCTGTTCTACCTTATAATTAATTGCACCCACCTGGTCTCGCAGGTCTAAATCAGTGCCTGATTAGAAGGGAACATTTTTGACAAAAAGCAGTGGAACTGGCTTCGAGGTCCAGATTTACATTTTGTGTTATAGATCATGTATTGTGAAATAAAAACCATGACAGGCATCCATAATTCAATCTCAACTATGCAGTCTGTTGTCTATTTTATTTTTCTAGGCCCTTTTGCCACTTTAACACATTTCTTCATCTCACTCTTCTTGCACCAGCTACCCTATAATACATCCTGCAATTTAAGTCTTCCAGAACCTTCCACACACCTCCACCACAGAGTTGTTGTTGAGTTTCCACTTGTTGCCCGACAGGACTGGTCTACCGTCTATGTAGATGGGCCTGCGGCCCTCGTTGGCTATGAAGAAGTCCCCGTTGTTCTTCAGTTTAATGATCCCTGTGCATTAGACATAAACAGTTACAAACACACAATGAAAAACTAGATCAAGTCCTGATATGGGGCCATAATATTACTACATGATAGACGTTTATCAGAAAACAGTCTAATTTCAACAGGGTCTAATTTCACTATGGTGAAGTGAGGACAGGGCGGGCACTGCCCTCTAGAGCCCAGATAATACAGGTTCTTCAGCTTCAGACCCGGGTAATGCAGATATGGGCTGCATCCAAAAAGGCATCCTATGTCATGGTGCTGCAGGTGATAAGTGAGTCACCTTGTTTCCTGGAGATCTTCCAGGCAGGTCCTTCCAGAGACAGATCCACATCTATTTGCTTGTCCTTGGTGGCTCTGCCCAGGGTGATCTAGAGGAAAAGTCAGATTAGCTTAATAAATTATATATATATATATATATATATATATATATATATATATATAAAAAACATAAAATATATATTTCACATTTCGTAAGCATACATTTCCATAGAATTAACCTGCTCCACAGTCATCTTACTATGGTCCTAATATGAGTTGGTATTGGACAGTTGTCTGTACTGTAAATTCAGTTAATTGGTCAATCTGAAATGAGCTGCTCACCTCTCGTGACCTCATAAGGTAGCGAACCATCCGGCCTCTCAGCGCTGCCAGTGTCTGGTTGTCAAAGTCTGGAGAGTTCATACCTGAGAACACAACAACAACATAAAGGCCCTGCAAGAGTGTCTTCTTACACATACACACGCGCACATGCATGTGCACACACACACAGGCACACACTCTCACCTGTGATGCTGTCCACCAGTACCTGCCAGCGTGGTAGCTCCTGCTCCAGCTGTCTTATCTCCTTCTTCTGATGGCGGTCAGAGATCATCAGCTCTAAGAGTGGGGACAGAATGAGGAAGGGCAGCAGGAGAGAGAATGATGAAGAGGAGAAGAGATGACAACAGATTTCAAAGCCAATCAACATGCATTCAGGAACATGCATTCAGGTGCTTTGAATTTGATCAATGAAGCACCTTCTTAGATAGACTCCTTTTTATGTGTTAGTAATGTACAAGGTTCTATGTTTGAGTAACTCACCATGCTCCAGCACCTCATCCCTGCTCTCCCTGGGTAACGAGACAGAGACACTGATTAGAATGACAGAGACAGGCGGAGCTCTGAATTTTACCTCAGGGAAACTGGAAATTAATTGTGGTCAGAATGTTGACCGGTTCTCTTACTTTAGCTTAGCATCATCCACCAGCTGCTCAGCATCAGAGAAGTTGAGGACTTGGTCGCCTTTAGGGAAAGGTTGGACTGCAAAAGAGAATGAAACCATACAATAAGGCCTCATATATAGGGGGACTGATGGGCACTCAACTCACTTAGTTTTAGTTGTACGAAAAAAGAAGGAAGGGAAGCGCTGCTAAGGTACACAATAGTAGATTTTGGTAAACAGAAGGTGCTCTTTGGTAAAAGGGGTAAATTGGTCATCAAAAAGAAAGGAGGACCAAGCCACTCTTCATATAATTAATTAAAATGCCTTTATTTGTATGGCATGTCCAATGGAAACAAAGTTTACGTTTTTAAACTTTGTTTCCATTGGACATGCCATACAAATAAAGGCATTTTAATTAATTATATGACGAGTGCCTTGGTCCTCCTTTCTCTTTGATCACTTAGTTTCAGTTTGCAACAGGGGAACATATGTGTGTAGTTAAAAACTTTTAGAAATAATTCACTTCATGGATGTCAAGTAATGGACTAACAGTGTTGTGCATCCCAAATGGCACCCTATTCCTTATTAGTGCACTACTTTTGACCAGAGGCTCTGGTCGAAAGTAGTGCACTAAAAGGGAATAGAGTGGCATTTGGGACGAAGCCTGTGTAATGAACCAATAAGGCCAGTTGAGTTTCTCTCACCACTCTGGTCCTCCAGCAGGTAGTACTGTTTGAGCAGCTGCCAGTGCACCAGCAGGCTCTTGGGAGTGCGGGAGGGGTAGAACACACTGGGGTGCTTACTCAGCAGCTCCTGGAACACCTCCAGCTTGGGCTGACTGCTCTGTTCATCAGAACAAACACACACACACACACACACACTTATTCAAAAACATATTTAAACAAACCCACACTCACTTCTTCAAACTGACAAACATATAGTGCCATCAATCCCACACATGTAAACATATGCAGTGAGAAAAATATTTCACCAATGGGCAGGTCAATGCTTTTTCCAGCATCACTACACTTAGTTTATGACAGAACCATATATACACAAATGTGTATAAATCACTCTATATACACATGTATATACAGTCAGTCCACACTATCTGTATTTGGACAATGAAGCTAACATTTGAAATGAGGTTCTACAGTGAGCTCCAAAAGTATTGGGACAGTGACACATTTTTTGTTGTTTTGCCTCCGTACTCCAGCACTTTGGATTTTAAATGATATATTGACTATGAGGTTAAAGTGCAAACTGTCAGCTTTAATGAGGGCACTTTCATCCATATCGGGTGAACCGTTTATAAATTACAGCACTTTTTGTACATAGTCCCCCCCATTTTAGGGGACCAAAAGTATTGGGACAAATTCACTTATGTGTATTAAAGTAGTCAAAAGGTTGAGTATTTGGTCCCATATTCCTAGCAGTCAATGATTATATCAAGCTTGTGATTCTACAAACTTGTTTGATGTATTTGCTGTTTGTTTTGGTTGTGTTTCAGATTATTTTGTGCCCAATAGAATTTAATTGTAAATAATGTAGTGTAATTTGAGTCGCTTTTATTGTAAATAAGAATAGAATGCTAACCTCACCTGTTATTGTAATGGTGAGAGGTTAGCATGTCTTGGCGGTATGATAATTGTGCATCTGTAACTTTCTCACTCATCATTATTCACGATTCATTCAGGACTTGCGTGCTAGGAATATGGGAACAAATACTAAACTTTTGACTACTTTAACGCACAAGTGAATTTGTCCCAATCGTTTTGGTCCCCTAAAATGGGGGGACTATGGATGAAAATACTCTCAAATTAAAGCCAGTCTGCATTTGAACCTCATAGTCATTGTATCATTTCAAATTCAAAGTGCTGGAGTACAGAGCCAAAACAACAAAAAATGTGTCACTGTCCCAATACTTTTGGAGCTCACTGTATACTCCAGCATTTTGGATTTGAAGTCAAATATTTCATATGAGACGACAGTACAGAATGTCACCTTTTATTTGAGGGTGTATCTGTTTTACCGTTTAGAAATTAAAGCACTTTATGCATCCCTTCCCCACATTTGAAGAAGTCATAAGTATTTGGACAAATTCACTGATTGTGTATTAAAGTAGTCAAATGTTTAGTATTTGGTCCCATACTCCTAGCAGTCAATGACTACATACATTTACATTTACATTTTAGTCATTTAGCAGACGCTCTTATCCAGAGCGACTTACAGTTAGTGAGTGCATACATATTATTATTTTATTTTTTTCATACTGGCCCCCCGTGGGAATCGAACCCACAACCCTGGCGTTGCAAACGCCATGCTCTACCAACTGAGCGACATCCCTGCTGGCCATTCCCTCCCCTACCCTGGACGACGCTGGGCCAATTGTGCGCCGCCCCATGGGTCTCCCGGTCAAGGCCAGCTACGACAGAGCCTACGACGAACCAGGATCTCTAGTGGCACAGCTAGCACTGCGATGCAGTGCCTTAGACCACTACATCACAATGGCTACATCACAATGACTACATCAAGCTTGGGACTCGTTGTTTGTTTTGGGTTATGTTTTGCCAAATAATAACTGAATGGTGAATGATGACATAAGTAATATGTGTTCAGAAATATCTATTCTTACTTATGATAAAAGTGATTCCAAAATGACACAATACATTATTCACCATTCACCATTGTGGTCCTCTGTAGCTAAATTGGTAGAGCATGGCGCTTGTAACGCCAGGGTAGTGAGTTCGATTCCCGGGACCACCCATACGTAAAATTGTATGCACATGACTCTAAGTCGCTTTGGATAAAAGCGTCTGCTAAATGGCTTATTATTATTATTAAAATATAGTCATTGTGATGTAGTCATTGTGTGCAAGGAATATGGGACCAAATACTAAACTTTTGACTTCTTTAATACACTTTAAGTGAATTTGTACAAATACTTGTGAATTCTTCAAACAGGGGAACTGATACATAAAGTGCATTAATTTCTAAATGGTAAAACAGATATGCATGAAAATACAATTAAATAAAATGCTGGAGTATAAAGCCAAATGTAAAAATGTAGATTCACTTTCCAAATTCATATGGTGAGGACTGTATATGGTTCTGATTTATGATGTTTATTAAACCATCTCTGAACTGTGTGTGTATGATTAAAAGTTTGAGATGCAATAGAGATCATCAATAACTATATTTGGGCGTTGCTTTGTGTAGTAGGAGCTGACTGACTCCATATTTGAGAGCAAGAGCTGGGCCATCTTGACCTGATGGGACTTCATATTTCAAACACCATAGAAACCCCCCACTCACTCACTGAGGCAATCTTGGCCAACAGAGCCTCCTCAGCCTGACTGAAGAGAGCTTTGCTCTGGATCGCAGCAATGGCCTCCGGATGAAGCTGCCTCATCGCTTGCCATGCCAACCTACAACACAGAGACAGGGGTAGAACATTGTCACACAGAGATTTTATTTGCCTTTACTTGGCCAGTCAAATCAACAATAATTGGTTGTCTATTACAATAACAGTCGAGGTCAAATATACTGGACGGAGCGAGAAAGACAAAGAGAGAGGAAGGAAAAGGATAGGAGGAAGTGGATAGTAGGAGATGGCCAGGGGTGTGTGGGTTGCTCTTACTTGGAGATGACGGGGTCGTAGAGCAGAGAGTACCAGCGCTCCTGGATCTCCCTCAGGGTGAAACGACAGCTGAACTTCACTCCCAGATGAACAGAGGTCAGATCTGTTGTCTAACAGCACACACACAACAATACACACACAGTCAGTTGCAGCCAGTTACAGTGTGTATAGTACATTACCACATCAATGAGCTGTATGATACATCCATAGAAAAATTATCTGGCTACATCGCAAACACATTGAAAATTCATATTTTACATTAATCAAGGTCAATGTTTACATAGTATACTACACTGCAAATTCCAATGATTTATAGCACTGATGTTTCAGTTATATATCAATAGCGTATCTCTATTGTCTTTAGGCCTGTTACCTGTAGCACAGCATTGATGAGCAGCAGGTCATCGGTGGATTTCCAGCGGCCCAGGTCTTTAGTGATCTGGAGGGGCTGCTTGCTCTTCTTCACTCTCTTGGCGATGGGCGGGTGGGTGATAACCATGGTGAGGGGCGGCGTGAGGGCCGTGCTGGACTTGGACATCTGACATAGGGTAGCATGGAAATGGGGAACCAATGAGGCATCTCCTTTACCTTATTCAGCATTTACTCTAGTAGGCATTTCATCATCGGTCAGACACCCTTATTAGTTAGAGTCTAGAGACAAAGAAAGAACTGACTATATAAACAGCACAATACTCTGCAGGTTGCCGTTTGTCATGAGTCTTGTCCTGGAGGCAGAACTGAGCGATTTCCCCTTAGATAGGCCAGCTGCAAAGTCAAAATTGTCTATATTGTAAAAATTCATGAAAATAAAAAAATAAGCTTTTTGGTCTTAATGCAAGGTTAGGGTTAGGCATTAGGGTTAGCAGTGTGGTTAGGGTTAGGGTTTGGTTTAAAATAATATTTTATGACGTTGTGGCTGTGCCAGCTAGTGACCACTGCAGAGCTGTTTCCAGAACAAGACTCATGACGAAAAATGCTAACCTGCTAATCATCTAGCTATTTAATCAAGAGAAAATTCAACAACTACCGGTATCTCCCCCTCTACGTTTCTCAATATGAGCAACCCATAAAAACACTCTTTGGATTAAATTCCTCCCTCATACCTTCTTCTTCTCATTGGATGAGGGTTCGCTCCCAGAGCAGCGGATTGGCTCGATGACAGGTGGGCCCTTGACCCTGCTGGATGACTTGGCCAGGCTGCTCTCCACTAGTTCATCATCAAACTTCTTCCTCTTAATTGACCTGGGAGTAGGAGAGGAACAGGTTAGATATCATATAGCCACCAGAGCTGCAACAGACAGAACCCCTGAGCTTCCTTTCATGCAGGCCTACTTCAAATTCAGAAGGTAGGTGATGCAGAATGAATGCTGTCCAATGGTCAGACGTGTAGGCAGTTATTTTGAATCACTGAACTGTACAAGGTGTTGCATGTTCATCTTTCAGGTTAAAACTGATGCAAAGATTGAAGCTAAAAAATGCCTGCAGAGTAAAGCTATAACATCAAGACAGACACAAATGAGTAACAGTCAAACCTTGAAGAGCTCCTGCGATTGGGCACAACACCGCCACCCCCAACAAAAGCCTGTGTTGCTGTTCTTTTGATATCTTTCATCCCGGTCGACTCCTCGTCCTCTGACCGGCTCTGTGTCCCAGCTGCTCCCATCGGTGCCCCAACCACAGATGCAGCTGCAGCACCTGCCCGTATATCTGTCCCCACACAGAGACAAACCTCAATGTTAGACACTATGGATTATGATGACAACATAAATGGCAACAACTTGCAACCAAAGGCAGACAGACAAACAAGAGATGTGCATACCTTTTTCCATGATCTTGTTCACAGTCCAGAGATTTCGAATAAATGTTGAATAATATAATGTTGCTACATTCGGCAGGTGTCACTCAGACAACGTATCTCAGGTGGCAATCTAAGACGAGAGAGAGGAAGGTATCAGTCAGAGATGGGCAGTAAATGGGAAGCATGTGCGGATAGTTAGCTAGCAGTCAACGTGACACATATAAGCTGTGCTTGCTCCAGTATCTGTGTGTTAGAGACCTCTAACGCCCAGGAAGCTCCGATTAAAAGTAAATGATGCTCAGCTAAACTTGAACCAGAATCTGGCCATACGGGATACGTTGATATGGCGAATCTCCTTTAAGCCCAGGAAGCAGCCATTCACCCGCCTTTCAAGCTCAATAATGTCAAAATACGTTCGTTATTCACCAAATATGGAGTTTCGATTAGCAACTATCGTAATTTACTGACGTCACGGGCGGTATGTACATCCAAAAAATATCTAAATAAAAATGTACAAGCAACCGAAAAAATGCCTAGTCGGCAACTCCAATGTAAATCGCACACGTTCCAAGGATCCCAAGGAACCTAGCTTCCATGAACGGGTCGGAAGTCTACAACAGGTCAATACATTGGAGAGGTCTTTTTTCGGTTGCATGTAACTTTTTATTTACACGTTTTTTGGAAGTACATACCGGCCGTGATGGCAGTAAATTACGATAGTTGCTCATCGAAACTCCATATTTGGTGAGTAACGAATGTATTTTGACATTATTAAGCTTGAAAAGCTGGTGAATGGCAAGTTGAATGGCTGCTTCCTGGGGCTGAAAGGACAATCGACATATCAACGTCTCCGTCCTGTAAGGCCAGATTCTGGTTCAAGCGAAACCCCATATCTGGCCACAGATACTTGGGAAAGTTGTGCTATGTATGCTATTGTTAGCTAGTTTGATGTCGAGAACATTGTCGATACAGCAGTAACGTTAGTTGTCTTCAAAGCTAGGAACATTTCACATCATGGTTATCTAACGAAGCAGCCTCTTCGCTTATTCCTCTACTTACCTCGTCCCAGGCTGGTTTATCAGCCAACTAGAGTCTAGCCAGGTACGTTGAGCTTCGAATAAATCAACACAATTGCTAATCAATATGTTTCTGTTATATTCGAAATTAGCTAGCTAGTTACATTCATGCTAACAATAACAGAACGAAACACATTTCCGGTGTGTACAGGAAATGTCGTTGGCCGTCTTCTTCATAACGTTTTCGTAACGTGCATTGCCGCCACCAACAGGACTGGCTCATTTACATCACAGATTATCCATTATATTGACCAGATACTCAAGGGGCCGCTCTTACAATGGAAAGAAATGTCATCAAAAATGGAAGGCAGTCGGCAGGAGGCAAGATCAGGTGGGACCATTCTAGCCAATAAGAGGGCAGATACGTGCGCGAACAACAGGCACAACTCCGATATAAAGTGTTTTTTTCTCAAAGTTGCCGGGATGTTACGTGTCCTATTTATATCAGTACACTCGTGACAACCTAAGAATTACGAAACGTCTATTCGATTAAATAAGGCTTCACATTTTTTGTTGACCAACTTTGACACTTTCATAAACAAAACGAAAAAACGTCACCTGCTGGAGACAATAGATTTTGGCCCCAGTTATACCTCTCGCTTCGCCTCTTCCTCTCTGTTTAAATAAGTGGTTGACCCCAAAATGCTTGCAGTTTATTTAAATGTGATTCTCTGCGATAAAAATACATGCTATGTTGTTCCAGTAGCTATGTGAACTCATAGGATATGTGCAATTAATGATGACAGGTGGTTTAGTCAATAGGTGTTTTTTCAGAGATACTTTTCTAATATCTCTGGTTTTACCCATAGAAATATAATTGTATGGTTTACCACAGAGTTTCTAAACCCAGAGGCCCAACATCACGAAACTTTCGGGAATGCTTGCGAAGCAGCCTCAACAGTTCAGACCGGAGTTTGGAGTTTGAGAAGTCAATGAGATAAATAAAACATTCTTCCTTAGTTGTTAATTTTCTCTAAATCTAAAGGCACATCCTATATTTGACCCAGTCTTAAGTAGCTGAACATGTTATTACTCCAACCGCGTGAGAGTGACAAACTGTGGTCCTCTGTAGCTCAGCCGGTAGAGCACGGCGCTTGTAACGCCAAGGTAGTGGGTTCGAACCCCGGAACCACCCATACACAAAAAAATGTATGCACGCATGACTGTAAGTCGCTTTGGATAAAAGCGTCTGCTAAATGGCATATTATTGCTTTGGATAAAAGCGTCTGCTAAATGGCATATTATTATTATTAAACTGATACGTTGACATTTTCATCAAAAACAACTTTATATCGAAGGAATGTCTTTGATTTGACGGCCTGCACATGCGAAGTTCGGCGCGAGACGACCTTTAGACCCGAAGATGTATTTCTGCGCATAAGCTAGCCAAGTTCTCCATGACATCACGAAGCAGTTTCTACATATCTTCATACTAAACCATCTTTGATTTTACCAACAGATGGAGCCCCAAGACACAACGTTCTAATTCACAAAATACTATTTATTTTATAGAACTTTATTTTAAAAAATTAGGAGGGACAATCACAATAATGAATTGGGCAACTCTGAAAAAGCTAAATCAATCATCAAAATCTATAATTTGTGGTACCAGTTTCAACTTTCCCCATTAACTTTTCTCGTGTACAATCACATACCATGGATGTACCCCACCTCCACATCCCCTTCAACACACCCTGTTATGTGTTGTCTGTTTACCAGACAACAGACAGTATACAGACTATACCTCTGAGTCAGTATAGCCACAGACACACTGCTTACAGTCACCTGTTAAAGTCCAGCACAGACATTGACCTGGTCTGGTCTCAGGCCACCTAAGGCCCCCACCTCTGCTGCTGCCTCTGCCAGGCAGAGGGGAAAATAAGAGAAAAGAGCCTATGAATCATTAACCATTTTAGAAACATTTCAGCTCTGGCTGAATTTATATTATTGAACTATTACCTCCAATAGACCACCAGCCACTGGCTATAGATGTTCTTGCTCTGGCATTTCAGCCTACCAAAACCACAACCACCCCTTTAGGCAGTCTTCAACATTAAATTTATTATAGGCCTATTCATGTATAATACTAGAAAATGCACCATATGTTTACAGCTGTATTGGTAATGCATTGTTCTGTTCATAACCATAACTTTTTAGAGAGTGACTTCTAATCTAGAGGGTTGATTCCTGTCAGTCAACCTTTGTTGTGTGATTGGGGTCTTTTTGGACAGTCAGGGGTTTTGTACAAAACCCTCACTCTCTCATCACTCATCCACAGGGCAGCCAAAGATTAGATGGGAGGAGGAGGGTTTTGTAGAATGTAAGTGGGGGTAGAGTGGTTATGTGATGCAAACTGTTGACCTGCAAACTTAGCACTAATGTACGGTAGGTAGCAAGCACAATGAATGTCCCCACAGACACATCTCACAGGAACAGCGATACCCAGCAGCGGCATTCCCAGAATCACCTGCCTTCATGTCTAAATATTATTCCATCTGTTTGAACCACAGACAAGCTACAACCAGAAACCAGAATGCCTTACAGGAAAAGATGCCCCAAGGTAGTGTGACTTTCACATTTCTAGTAAAACAGAAACAGAAGACCATGCATACATGTATGACATTATTTTAATAGAGAACAATTACAAAATTATTTTTTATAACCTTTTTACAATGTCTTATCCCAACAGAGAAATAAGTATTTTGAAGCACCACGTCATACAAGTCACGTCAGGTTCTAGATGTAGAAAAAGGCTAACACACAAATTCTTTTTTAGATGTAAGAGATACAGACAACTCACAGAGGATATATTGTTTTGTACAACTGAGTAGGACATCATACAAGATCAGAAGACTTTTAAAAAGACAAAAGTGTTTGTAAACAGAGAAACCCAGGTGGGAGGATATGGAGCACTATGTTAGTCCCACCAGCTGCCATTTTTCATTTAAGATTCTAATGAGCACCATATAAGCACCATTCTGATAGGAACATCACAGTTTTGTCCAAAATAATAATAATAATTCAATAACACTCTTCTAAAGGCAGTACATGACATATTTATAAGCATTTTATAGCATCTTCTTCAGCAATGCGTAAACATTAATAAATGCAACTGAAGTTTGGTTTGGCTTGGCATCTGCCAATCTATGATTTAAATTACAGAGGGATAAGTTGCTTTCTGTTTGTCTAAGCTAAGGAAGGAGTTACAACTGTTCTGGTTATGAACAGAACAATGCATTACCAACACAGCTGTAAACATATGGTGCATTTTCTAGTATTATACATAGGGCTATAATAAATGAATATTGAAGACTGCCTAAAGGGGTGATTGTGGTTTTGGTGTACTGAACATTACATGCTATGATCAGGATGCATACTTGCAACTGAGTTTAATCAGTCTGGTTAGGTGAGAGGAACATAATGTAGTTATCAGAGATTCCACTGGTAATATCATTGGCTACTGGGAATACCATTGGCTACAATCTAAACCACAAGTAAGTATAAGTGCTATTGCATTCATGAGCATTAATGAATAAAGCAGGAAGTTTAAGTGGTGCAAGGGGAATCAACCTGATATTGAGACGGAAAATCACTTGCCCTGATGTACATTTCAAGTTTCAGTCAAAAGTTTCAAGTTTTATGCATTTCGCTCTGCATGGGAAGGTTTCAAGCCAGGCCATAATGCACTTGAAATATTGCACTACCCTCCCTTCATCCTCTCCTAGCCTCCTTGTGCAAAAAGTGTGGGAAGTGAATTTTAGTTAACTGGAAATGCACCTACTACTGCCCATAGACAGAAAGGAAGGTTTTCAAATAACAATGGCATTGATCTGAGACCTCTATCAGCCCCTCATCCAGCTGCTGTATCAACTCAGACCCAGGCCAGCCCAAACCAACTGGGCTTGAGTTCTGAGGGGCTGAGGGCCTGGTCTGTGGGTTGAGGCCTGCAGGGTTTCAGCTTCAGTTGGGCCCTCTTTCTTCCCCAGTGCTCCCATCTGTTGCACTCTGAGAGACTGGGATTGTCAGTCACTGTCAAATACACATAGCTAGTGTTCAGCAGGTCATCGGCTCATCTCTCGATAAACTGCAGGTTGATCTCGCTCTCTGGCACCAGCAGTGTCCGGGTCATGGGTTTGACTGCTGCACCACTGCCTTCCGGATCGGGCTTCACATCAAACTGCATCAGAATCTGAGGGGACCAGGAGAGGGGTTGAGAAAATGAGAGGGCGCCACTCACATGTACAGTACTTGGAATAATGTAAGTCCACTATGAGTCGCTCTGGATAAGAGCGTCTGCTAAATGACTAAAATGTAAATGTAATAAGGATGAAAATGTACTGGGACTCAAAACGCTATGGAAATGAAATGTCATTTTCAGAGACACTCATTGCCAAAGCCTAGCTGTAAAAGTGACCAAAGATCTACTCACTCGTGCCAGTGCCAGGTAGACCTCCAGCTCTGCGATGCGGCGGCCGATGCAGCTGCGTTTTCCCACGCCGAAGGGCACTGAGGCGTAAGGGTGGTGGCCTTCGTTCCGGTTCAGCCAGCGATGGGGCTGGAAGGCATCCGGGTTCGGGAAAAATGCTGCATTCCGGGATGTGGCGAAGTGACAGAGGGTGATCAGAGTCTGGATAGGATAGAATTGTGACATACTGTTGCTAGGAATCAGTTAAAAAACCTTGGTAAAATCCTTCCATTACATATGTTTGCCTTCTTCACACCTTAATATTACACCAGATTGTTAAAAAAATTCAGAGAAAAAAGCAGTCAACATCATGTCAACACTTACGTTTTTGGGGAGGAGGTAGCCTCCGACCTGGATGTCTTTGTCAGCGATGACCCTGGCATTGGCCGGAATAACAGGATAAAGTCTGGAGGAGCCAAAACATAACAATGTCGATGTGACTGATCAGTCTAATGATTGATTGATTGGATGTAGTTGATTCCAATTGGTAGTGGATTAAATGAGCTCCCCTTAATTATATAACGAGGAGCTATGAGCACTTGGAATAGCGCTATAATAATCCAAAACTACATCATTACTATTATTATTATCATTCATATTTTTACCTGAGCACCTCCTTCACCACAGCCTTCATGAGGGGCATGCGAGCCACGTCTGCAGCCCCAGGCACCCTCCGACCCCCCATCACGGCCAGTATCTCCTCCCTCAGCGAGGCCTGCACCTCAGGGTGCCGAGACAGCTCGTACAGGGACCAGGACATGGTGCTGGAGATCTGAACACACACAGGACACAACAGGTCAGTACGACGGAAAGATCATTCACCATAAGGTCACTGTAGCAGTGGATGGAGAGGATGGTGAGCTCCCTACAGCTTAAGAAGAGGTAGTATGCTGTGATTTACTCAATGATACAGTATACTTTTGACTAGGAGTGAGAGGAAATGGAGATGTATGACTATTGGATATTTTATAAACCAATAGTAAAGAGCAGGCTCAAAGATGGCGAGATTAGGACAGAAAAGACAAAGAGGAGGGAGAAATGCAAGAAGAAGAAGAGATGAGAGATTTTCCTCACCGTGTCCACCCCAGCCAGGAGCAGCTCAGTGATGTTGCTGTACACCGTCTTCATGGGCAGCCCCGTGCGGGTCAGGAAGTAGGTCAGATATCGCCCCTCCACGTCCTCTCCCCGCGCCACCTTCTCCGCTTCCTCCTTCAGACGCTGGTCAATGTGACCTTGAGCTGCAAGGAGAGAGATCAGGGGTCAGATCAGAGAAAAAAATCTCAAATCTGGGTTCAAATAATATTTTAAATATTTTAAATACTTTCAGCGTTTGCTTTAGACTAACTGGAATGCCAGATGGGCGGGGGTTGCAGTTTTGCGACAATTCTATTGGTTCCATAGCACCAATCATCAATCAATTCCAGCTGAAGTATTTCAAATGATTTCAAATATTTGAACCCAGGTCTGAAGGAGCTCTAGTCCAACTAAGGGAATCTGTACAGCTTGGAAAGAAAAAATAGACCTCTGGGAACGTTTACTACAGGGATTACAGGTGATGAATGGAAGGCAGCCACACACACTATGGGTCCTATTGAATGGGAACTATTTATAGCAAGTTACAAGAAATCTATCCGTAGAGGGTAACTAATAATCAGTAGGTCAGTTGGGTTAAATATATCAAATGTAAGAGGTGGCATGTACTCAAAAGTCCACGGGATTAAACCAAGCAAATAAAATGTTATTTGTCAACAGTTGTAGACTAACAGTGAAATGCTTACTTATGGGCCCTTCCCAACAATGCAGAGGAAAAAAAGACAAATAATAGAAAGATAACACAAGGAATAAATACACAATAAGTAACGATAGATGGCAGCTCACCGAATTGGAACATGTAGTCCCAGCACTGGCAGAAAGTGTCCCAGGGCTTGGGGAACAGCTGGTGTAACCAGGCAGGCATAGCCATGGTGAGGAGCGTCATGACAAACATGGTGTTAATGGACTGGATGAAACACTCTGTCTCCGTGGGAACCACAGGGTCTAGGCAACCAATCCTGGACTCGAACAAGACTGAGGAGATCCCTGCAGAGAGGAAGACCGGCAGAGGGCAAGGGTGAGAAGGGTTTGAAGGGCTTTCCGGAAGGGCTTTGTTTGTTTGCCCTCTGTAATACAGATCCAATCAAGCCTATTATAGACTTGTCAGAGTACCCTATCCTACCATACACAAGTAAGTGGTGGTAATAGACTAAACTAGTAGCCTACAATGCTAATTGACATTGATACAATAAAGTTGCTTCCTGATCTTGTCTCTTATTACGGGACTGATCTCAGATAATCTCACACCTGACCTCGGATGCTGACCTCATATACCACCGTTTAAAAAAATAACAACAAAGAAACAGGTTGAATGCAAATAGGTCTTACCTTCGAGGCCGAAGCGGTAGAACTCACTGCCGATGTTCGGGACGAGGCCGCAGGGGTCCTGGCGCCTGCGGAGGCGGAGCTTAGCAATGAGGTCATCAACCACACCGTTTAGAGTGGCGTCGTAGGCCTCCACCGCCTTCGGACGTAGCATGTGCTTCCCCAGGAGACTCCGCACCGCCTGCCACTCCTCCCCCTCACTGAAGAGAGTAAAGGTTAGGGTTGCAAAATTCCTGGAACTTTCAAAAAATTCCCTGGTTTTCCCAAAAATTTCCAGAATCAGGAGGGAATAAGCAGGAAATCCGGAATCCTCCAACCAGGATTTCTGGAAAACCAGGGAAATTATTTATAGTTCTCAGTGATTTGCAACCCTAAGTAAGGTAAACAGAAAATAATGTAATCAATGAGTTTGCTTACCAAACATCAATAGTTTACATGTTTTATACAGGCTGGGCCAACTGTACTGTAGGCTACTTGATTGAACTGTAATTGAACTGTGATAGTATTTTCATATTCCTGGTCATTAGGTTATAACCCATAGGTAATAATAACCCATAGGTCATTTTTTTATTTCACCTTTATTTAACCAGGTAAGCCAGTTGAGAACAAGTTCTCATTTACAACTGCGACCTGGCCAAGATAAAGCAAAGCAGTGCGATAAAAACAACAACACAGAGTTACATATGGGGTAAACAAAACGTACACTCAAAAACACAATAGAAAATCTATATACAGTGTGTGCAAATGTAGTAAGTTATGGAGGTAAGGCAATAAATAGGCCATAGTGCAAAATAATTGCAACTTAGTATTAACACTGGAATGATAGACGTGCAGAAGATGATGTGCAAATAGAGATACTGGGGTGCAAATTAGCAAAATAAATAACAATATGGGGATGAGGTAGTTGGGTGGGCTAATTTCAGATGGGCTGTGTACAGGTGCAGTGATCGGTAAGGTGCTCTGACAACTGATGCTTAAAGTTAGTGAGGGAGATAAGAGTCTCCAGCTTCAGAGATTTTTGCAGTTCATTCCAGTCATTGGCAGCAGAGAACTGGAAGGAATGGCGGCCAAATGAGGTGTTGGTTTTGGGGATGACCAGTGAGATATACCTGCTGGAGCGCATACTACAGTTGGGTGTTGCTATGGTGACCAATGAGCTAAGATAAGGCGAGATTTGCCTAGCAGTGATTTATAGATGACCTGGAGCCAGTGGGTTTGGCGACGAATATGTAGTGAGGGCCAGCCAACGAGAGCGTACAGGTCACAATGGTGGGTAGTATATGGGGCTTTGGTGACAAAACGGATGGCACTGTGATAGACCACATCCAATTTGCTGAGTAGAGTGTTGGAGGCTATTTTGTAAATGACATCGCCGAAGTCAAGGATCGGTAGGATAGTTAGTTTTACGAGGGCATCATAGGCTGACATCTGTCTCTTTCATGACTCACTGTCTGTCTGTCTGTCTGGCTTCTAGACCAATTAGTCCTTTGTCTTAAAGGGATACTTCAGGATTTTGGCAAACTCATGGATACCATTTGTATGTCTCTGCATTCAGGATGACGGAAGTTAGAGGTAGTTTTGCTAGCCAAAACTAACTAGCATTAGCGCAATGACTGGAAGTCTATGGCAACTGCTAATATGCTAGTAGATACCATAGACTTCCATTCATTGTGCTAATGCTAGTTAGCCACTTCCTTCAAACTGCACACAGAGACATGGTATCCACGATTCATCAGACTCTGGGGAAGTAGATAAAGGGCTTCTGAAGTATCCCTTGAAGTCTTTGTTTCATCTCTGTTAATCTTTCCTGCTTCCTGTCAACAGCACGTGAACCTGATGTCAGAACAGCTTACATTAGCATGACAAGCATGGGAGGGGAGACAGCAGAGGAGGAGAGGAATGGTACCCACGCTGTGAGCAGTCCGTAGCCATGACCTCGTTGTTTCCTGTAGTCCTTCCAGGAGGAGAGGTCAGAGCGGATCGGGGTCTGGCCCTCCTGCCTCAGCACTTGCTCTATCAGGTCTGGCTCTGCCACGTGCACCGTCAGGATGGGACCGAAGCTGGCCTTCCACATCGGCCCATAGCACTTCACACCCTCCAGCTGGGAGATGACAACACATTAGCACACAACGCATATACAGTGGGGAAATAAAGTATTTAGTCAGCCACCAATTGTGCATGTTCTCCCACTTAAAAAGATGAGAGAGGCCTGTAATTTTCATCATAGGTACACATCAACTATGACAGACAAATTGAGGGAAAAAAATCCAGAAAATCACATTGTAGGATTTTTTATGAATTTATTTGCAAATTATGGTGGAAAATAAGTATTTGGTCACCTACAAACAAGCAAAATTTCTGGCTCTCACAGACCTGTAACTTCTTCTTTAAGAGGCTCCTCTGTCCTCCACTCATTACCTGTATTAATGGCACCTGTTTGAACTTGTTATCAGTATAAAAGACACCTGTCCACAACCTCAAACAGTCACACTCCAAACTCCACTATGGCCAAGACCAAAGAGCTATCAAAGGACACCAGAAACAAAATTGTAGACCTGCACCAGGCTGGGAAGACTGAATCTGCAATAGGTAAGCAGCTTGGTTTGAAGAAATCAACTGTGGGAGCAATTATTAGGAAATGGAAGACATACAAGACCACTGATAATCTCCCTCGATCTGGGGCTCCACGCAAGATCTCACCCTGTGGGGTCAAAATGATCACAAGAACGGTAGCAAAAATCCCAGAACCACACGGGGGGACCTAGTGAATGACCTGCAGAGAGCTGGGACCAAAGTAACAAAGCCTACCATCAGTAACACACTACGCCGCCAGGGACTCAAATCCTGCAGTGCCAGACGTGTCCCCCTGCTTAAGCCAGTACATGTCCAGGCCCGTCTGAAGTTTGCTAGAGTGCATTTGGATGATCCAGAAGAGGATTGGGAGAATGTCATATGGTCAGATGAAACCAAAATATAACTTTTTGGTAAAAACTCAACTCGTCGTGTTTGGAGGACAAAGAATGCTGAGTTGCATCCAAAGAACACCATACCTACTGTGAAGCATGGGGGTGGAAACATCATGCTTTGGGGCTGTTTTTCTGCAAAGGGACCAGGACGACTGATCCGTGTAAAGGAAAGAATGAATGGGTCCATGTATCGTGAGATTTTGAGTGAAAACCTCCTTCCATCAGCAAGGGCATTGAAGATGAAACGTGGCTGGGTCTTTCAGCATGACAATGATCCCAAACACACCGCCCGGGCAACGAAGGAGTGGCTTCGTAAGAAGCATTTCAAGGTCCTGGAGTGGCCTAGCCAGTCTCCAGATCTCAACCCCATAGAAAATCTTTGGAGGGAGTTGAAAGTCTGTGTTGCCCAGCGACAGCCTCAAAACATCACTGCTCTAGAGGAGATCTGCATGGAGGAATGGGCCAAAATACCAGCAACAGTGTGTGAAAACCTTGTGAAGACTTACAGAAAACGTTTGACCTGTGTCATTGCCAACAAAGGGTATATAACAAAGTATTGAGAAACTTTTGTTATTGACCAAATACTTATTTTTCACCATAATTTGCAAATAAATTCATTAAAAATCCTACAATGTGATTTTCTGTAGAATTTTTTTTCGCATTCTGTCTGTCATAGTTGACGTGTACCTATGATGAAAATTACAGGCCTCTCTCATCTTTTTAAGTGGGAGAACTTGCACATTTGGTGGCTGACTAAATACTTTTTTCCCCCACTGTAGATGGCATGATTCACTGTAGATGGAACAGTCCATAGATTTAGAAATAATCTATTTATATGGATGGAACATCGACATGTTGTGAGCAGACCTAGCTACAGTTCTAAAGCTGCTTGGTGTAAAGTGTATGGACAAAATCTGTACAAAAATGTTCAAAGCGTTGGGAGCGCCTGTCAAGCGGTTCTAGAAAGCTTGCCTTCTTGCTCCTTGTGCTCCCCATCTACACCTATGAGGCAGCAGGTACCTCCCAAAGCACAGGAAAGTGCCCTAGTGGCCTAAGGCACTTTCCTGCTCAATGCCCTATCAGGGTAAGAGAACTGATGTATGCATACCATTTGTCTAACATAGTCTATGCATATGCAACTGCATGTCTGGTGCATTTAGATCATCACAGTACAGCTTATGTTGGCCCTCTCATAGCTATTTAATTGCTGGGCAATTACATTACACACTGGTGGTTAGGTTATACAGTAGCCTACATGTAAGGAGAGGCTGTGACAGAGTGTCTGCACTACAGCACCATGCCACACCCAACAGCAATGTCATAAACTATCTATAACAAGACAAAATGTGTGATGACCAGTTAAATCTGCCATTATATGGTATTGCTGTTTATCAGACATTATGAAACACTGTAATTCCATACATTCACGTGGCTGTCTGGCTTTAATAGAAATAAATTAAAAAGAAAAGATGAACAAGTAATCAAAATAATTTACCTGCAGCTCGTGGAGGCGGGACAGTCCCCGTTTGGCGAAGAGGTCCCAGGCAAATTTGGCGACGGTGGGTCCCGGCATTTCCTCCAGGGTTTTCACCCGGTGCGCCGCCTCTGTAGTCTTCAGGCCAGCTGCGCTCTCAGCCCAATTCTCCATCCACTTGATAAGCGGGGACGCACTGCGACCAGACACTTTGAGGGCTTGCTGCAGCATCCTTCTGGCTATGTTCGTGCACTGTTAGGGAAACAAAGGCAAGTCTTTCGGGTGTCGGTGCTCATCTTGCACCAAGACACTATTTATATCGCTCGACCCATGTCGGACTGGGACCGGCGCGGCATAGAGTTAAGTTTCTCATTGGGGGCCAATCAAAGCGAATCCTGGCGTCGACCCCACCCAGTGGCAAGGTTTTGGACGCAGTAGGCGTAGACTATTTGGAAGTTGTGTCCAGATCGCAGAAATCAGACTAACCCAAAGTAGCGCCCACGTGGAAGGTAAATAATATTTTTTTCTGTATTTTTCTCAGACACCGATGGAGGTTGCCTAGAAACTATTTTCGGGCTAGGCCATTGGGAGGAAATGAATAACAAACAGTTAATGCATAATAAAATGCGTTGCCATAAATACAGCCAGGTCTCATACACTAAAGGTAACATAGTAAACGTTAAAGTAAACATTAATCTGGGACACCCAGATTAGTATGCTATATTATGTTTGGTATGGTTACATAAAACAGAAGGTTACTTAAGGTAAAAACGAAAGGAGGGTGGTTGATTGGGGTGGATGGATGGATGGATCAACGAATAGGTGGGCGTATAAAGTGAACGTCTAGCAACCCAAGGGTTGTATGTTTGAATCTCATCATGGACAACCATAGCATTTAGCAACTTTTCAGCTACTTATTACTTTTTAGCTATTTTGCAACTACTTAGCATGTTAACTAACCCTAAGCTTAACCCTTTTAGCTAACCCTTCCCCAAACCTTAACCCTTGAACCTAACTCCTAACCTTAACCCTAACCCCTTGCCTAGCTAACATTTGCCACAACAAATTGGAATTCGTAACATATTGTACATATTGCAAATTCGTAACATTTTGCTAGACCCCAAGAAGAGTAGCTGCTGTAATTCGTTACATATCATGTGAAATGGATGGTGGACATTCCCAAATTAATACATACCATATGGAACGTAACATATCATGCTAAATTGAGTGTTTTTCACAAATTTGCATACAGAATAATACAACATTCTCTGAGACCAGGTTGCAGCGGTTGTGGCCTACCATTTCAATATATTTTAGCCCGTATCTACTCCTATTCTATTATGTATATTTGGTGTGGATAAGTAATATTACACTTGCATGAGTATGAAACAAACATGCAATATCAAAATCATATGTCAGGCCGTTTACTCAATAATATTCGAGTATTCTATAAGGTATGCTTGGGCAGTGGGGTTAATATGTTGTATTTCAGTGACTCTAGAATAACCCATGTTAAATTTGAGTTTTCACTTTTCCACGTCATAAATTGATTGACCCTGACATTTTAGAAAGCATTTTCCAGTCCTGTAGGTGTTGAGCAATAGGTATATTCAATTATAGGCGTCTGAATTCAAGGATTCGCTAAAACTGCGAATTATTTGCTCATAATGGTCTACTGGGAATGTATTGCAGTAGACTACGTGGATTAGGCTACTTGCTGACTCGGGGTTTTCATGTTGGGACTCGCCTCGGCCATTGTGCGAGCATGAGTGGGAAAATCCTGACCCGCCTTTCATTGAAGTGGAAGTTTGCCAAGACGCCATGTGTGCGCCTCGCACCATGAAGTAATAGTGGTTCTAGGCCTACTTGGAATCTGATTTGACGTTTGCTCTTATGTTTCTGTAGTTCAAGCCAGAAAGCTATTTTCCCCGGATGCCATTTTCAGAGAATGATCGAACACAGAAATACCTACGACTGTCTCTAACCAAGCCAAATACAGACACAGATTTGGTGAGCCTTCTTTAGAGGCTTTTTGTGGCCAATTTGCATGTCCACGCGGCCAATCAGTGGCCATTCAGGATATTTTCTTGGAAAATGATTATTCTAGGAATTTACCATCTGGCGTCCCAAATTTTTATTTATTTATTTAAATTGTTGGACATAAAAGACTGTAAATACACCAGCAAAATAGCTCCAATTGTTTAAATTTTTTTAAATTTAGTATTCCCACGCATAATAGAGACATATATGTGATCATATACAAATTTAAGCAAGGTTTGGAATTATTATGTTTTAGTCAAATATTATATTTGTTTGGGCTTCTTGCGGTCAATTTGCAGTCTACAAAGTATTTGTAATTATGTTCCGGCTCCCTGACCATCCACTCAAGAAAAAATAGTCCTGCAGCTGAATCTACACTACATTACATTTAAAATTTTAGTCATTTAGCAGACGCTCTTATCCAGAGCGACTTACAGTTAGTGAGTGCATACATTTTCATACTGGCCCCCCGTGGGAAACGAAGTCACAACCCTGGTGTTGCAAGCGCCATGCTCTACCAGCTGAGCTACAGGGGACTAAAGTGGAGTCCAAAAGTATGTGGACACATGCTCGTCGAACATCTCATTCCAAAATCATGGGTATTAATATGGAGTTGGTCCCCCCTTTGCTGCTATAACAGCCTCCACTCTTCTGGGAAGGCTTTCCACTAGATGTTGGGACATTGCTGTGGGGACTTGCTTCCATTCAGCCACAAGAGCATTAGTGAGGTCGGGCACTGATGTTGGGCAATTAGGCCTGGCTCGCAGTCGGCGTTCCAATTCATCCCAAAGGTGTTTGATGGGGTTGAGGTCAGGGCTCTGTGCAGGCCAGTCAAGTTCTTCCACACTGATCTTGACAAACCATTTCTGTATGGACCTCGCTTTGTGCACAGGGTCATTGTCATGGTGAAACAGGAAAGGGCCTTCCCAAAACTGTTACCACAAAGTTGGAAGCACAGAATCGTCTAGAATGTCATTGTATGCTGTAGCGTTAATATTTCCCTTCACTGGAACTAAGGGGCCTAGCCCGAACCATGAAAAACAGCCCCAGACCATTATTCCTTCTCCACCAAACTTTACAGTTGCCACTATGAATTGGGGCAGGTAGCGTTCTCCTGGCATCCGCCAAACCATCCATCGGACTGCCAGATTGTGAAGCGTGATTCATCACTCCAGAGAACGCGTTTCCACTGCTCGAGAGTCCAATGGCGGGGAGCTTTGCACCACTCCAGCCGACGCTTGGCATTGCACATTGTGATATTAGGCTTGTGTGTGGCTGCTCAGCCATGGAAACCCATTTCATGAAGCTCCAGACAAACAGTTCTTGTGCTGACGTTGCTTCCAGAGGCAGATTGGAACTCGGTAGTTTGGAACTCGGGAGTGTTGCAACCGAGGACAGACGATTTTTACACGCTTAAGCACTCACGGTCCCGTTCTGTGAGCTTGTGTGGCCTACCACTTTGCAGCTGAGCTGTTGTTGCTCCTAATATTACAATGTTTATTTGTAAAGTGCGTGTGTTTGTGCGTCTTTTTTTATTTATTTTAATTTTATTTATTAGGATCACCATTAGCCGACGCCAATGGCGACAGCTAGACTTACTGGGGTCTGACACATAACAAAAAAGACATTACAGACAAAATACTTTATAATTTACATACATTTAAAAACATTAATGTGTGTGTGTGTGTGTGTGTGTGTGTGTGTGTGCATCTATCAGTTACACATACATGTCAGTACATACACACAACAAGTAGGTCACATGGGGGAGAGGCGTTGTGCGGTGTTGCTTTATTTGTTTTTTTAAAACCAGGTTTTGCACTATGTAAAATGGAAAGGAGTTCCATGCACTCATGGCTCTGTATAATACTGTACGTTTCCTTGAATTTGTTCTAGACCTTGGGACTGTGAAAAGACCCCTGGTGGCATGTCTGGTGGGGTAAGTGTGTGTCAGTGCTGTGTGTAAGTTGACTATGAAACAATTTGGAATGTCCAACACATGAAAAATGGCTGGAGAATGGCGCCGGAGGGGATGGCTGCCTTTTTATGGACTCTTAACCAACCGTGCTATTATTATTATTTTTCTCATTGTTTGTAACTTATTTTGTACATAATGTTGCTGCTACCATCTCTTATGACCGAAAAGAGCTTCTGGACATCAGAACAGTGATTACTCACCTTGAACTGGACAAATAATTTTTCTTTAATGAGTCGGACCAGAGGGATTTGCTCCAGACACCCGACAGGGCCCTCATCCCCGTCATTCGCAGTAGAAAGAAAAGGAGATATCGCGGAAGGAGATCGGGGTGCCTGGTAAGGAGCCGGCGACGAGTGGCTAATCTGCCTTTGCCATTGATACTATTGGCCAACGTACAATCGCTTGATAATAAAGTGGACGAACTACAAGCACGTATATCCTACAAACGGGACATTAAAAACTGTAATATCTTATGTTTCACAGAGTCGTGGCTGAATGACGACATGAATAACATAGAGCTGGCGGGTTATACACTGTATCGGCAGGATAGAACAGCACCCTCTGGTAAGACAAGGGGTGGCGGTCTATGTATATTTGTAAACAACAGCTGGTGCACGATATGTAAGGAAGTCTCGAGGTTTTGCTCGCCTGAGGTAGAGTATCTCATGATAAGCTGTAGACCACACTATCTACCAAGAGAGTTTTCATCAATATTCTTCGTAGCTGACAATTTACCACCACAAACCGATGCTGGCATTAAGACCGCACTCAATGAACTGTATATGGCCACAAGCAAACAGGAAAACGCTCATCCAGAGGCGGCACTCCTAGTGGCCGGGGACTTTAATGCAGGGAAACTTAAATCAGTTTTACCTAATTTCTACCAGCATGTTAAATGTGCAACCAGAGGGGGAAAATAACTCTAGACCACCTTTACTCCACACACAGAGACGTGTACAAATCTGACCATAATTCTATCCTCCTGATTCCTGCTTACAAGCAAAAACTAAAGCAGGAAGCACCAGTGACTCGGTCAATAAAAAAGTGGTCAGATGAAGCAGATGCTAAGCTACTGGACTGTTTTGCTAGCACAGACTGGAATATATTCCGGGATTCTTCCGATGGCATTGAGGAGTACACCACATCAGTCACTGGCTTCATCAATAAGTACATCGATGACGTCATCCCCACAGTGACTGTACGTATATACCCCAACCAGAAGCCATGGATTACAGGCAACATCCGCACTGAGCTAAAGGGTAGAGCT